CATATGAAACCCATTCTACAATACTGGATTGATGAGTGTCATGTCTGCCAGACTATGAATCCAAAGAAGACATGTAAACCACCTCCAGGTACCTACACACTTCCAAATAAACCCTTTGAAAGAATTGTCATTGACTTTACAGACATGGGTCCTGATATGCGTGTCCGTGGCTATCGCTACCTACTGGTCTTAGTCTGTGAGTATACCAAATGGGTTGAAGCTTTTCCCTGTAAAACGGAGTCAGCCAAGGAAGTGATTCAACATCTCACTAACGACGTTTTTAGCCGTTTCGGAATTCCGTCTGTGATAAGAAGTGATAACGGAACTCACTTTACAGCCAAAGTGGTACGTGATGTGTTAAAAGCCCTTAATATTTCACAGCGCTTTGGAACCATTTATCATCCAGCCAGCCAAGGAGTCTGTGAACGGATGAATGCAACAGTCAAAAGGAAACTGGCTAAAATCTGGCATACCACCAAGCTTGACTGGGTCACTGCTCTTCCTTTTGCTTTGATGGACATTAGAAACAGCATTAACCAAACCACATCATACTCTCCTCATCTTTTACTCACTGGTAGAGAGATGCACAAACCAGTAGGTCCATTCAATGAAGAAACACCATTTATTGACTGGGACAAACAGCACCATTCTTATGTTCAGATGCTACAGAAAATAGTCTCTCAACTACACCAATGTAGACAGAGAGTTCATGACTCACAAATCCATCCCGAGCCTGACACAGTAGTTACACCTGGCTCTTGGGTATTTGTTAAAGTACACAGACATAACAACTGGACTCAGCCCTACCAAACTGGACCATACTTAGTTATTCAATCAACTGGAAGATCTGTGCAGGTCCAACGAGGACAGTCCAAGGTGTGGTACCATCTTTCACACTGCTTCAAGTGCCCCGTGGACCCACCGGAGAGGACTCTGACGCAAGTTAAAGCAGACATTGCTGCAGCTGTTGGTCCAGATTCAACCCCTTACTTATCGGCTGATGGAGAAGATCTCTCTACGCAACCCAGCTCCGGGGCTCCGGAGGGGGAAAGAAAGGGAAATGGGGAAGTATTGGACATGCAGTTGCATCCCTTGCGACGTTCCAGAAATCTTATATTTCTTTGCAATCATTACTATTGTTTTTGTTTTAGTATGGTGGTACATTATATGTCCATCACCAAAAAATAATGTAAATATGCAACAAATCACTCCAACAACTAAAAATGAAAGTATCGTTAAATTATCTTATATTTTAGCAAGCAACCAAACACATAGACAAAAACGCCAAACCAATGTTGACCCCTGCATAGCTAAACATGGAGGACTAGAATTAAACTACAAACCAGGAGAGGACTGGACATATGTTTTTGACTTTTGCTCTGTTTTTACTTGTAGTGACGACCAGTGGAGGGGAGAGGATGTCTACATTTGTGGTGAATACCAAATGCAAACACATTGTGCCCAGATGAGTAGACTCTGCCTATCAAAGAATCACTGGACCCATTCAGATCCTACACAATCTTCCAATTATCGTGGTCCTGCAAAAGCTGCAGATAAAATAACAGTAATAAAGAGCAAAAGCAAAAGTCATTATCCCATACAGGGTCCAAGAAGAAATCTTTTAGCCTTCACCATCAATAGATTGGACAAAAACCCCTTGTTAAATAATCTAAAACCCTTATACCTTACTTTTGGTACATCAGGACATTACACAAAGACAGTAGTTGTAAAAATAGCCTTTGATACCTCTGCAACACCTGATAAAACTTTACCTTGGATAAAGATAATTGATAATAACAACAAAAATCCTAAAGTACAACTTGCTGTTGAAACGGGCTATGTCGAAAGTAATGTTTGGTTAGAAAATGTTAGGCAACAAGCTGAACAAGCAAACCAAACAGACTGCATAATATGTCAAACAGCTAGACCAAAATTAATGTTAACTCATACAACTTTTGAGACAAACAAAAATGGCACAACAACTAAAGGTACAGATATAGGATGTATGATAGAAGTAATGTCTAAAGATAACACGGGTCTTAACTGTAGAGGGTGGGAAAAGATTTATCCAGTCACCAAAAAAGGAGTTTCACCACCTATGTTTAGCACTCAAGTTACCAATTTAAATGTTACATGCATCACAATTGAACACCCGAGCCACACATATGTAGATTTAAAAGAGTTTCATGATTTAGGACATCTTGAAGTATGTAAAAGCACCTATAGACTCAAAAGCAACAACACTGACATACCATTTACAACTGCTAGAGCTGATGTGTGGTGGTATTGTGGAGGTTCTGCTCTATATGGAAGTTTACCACCAAAATGGACTGGCACATGTGCCCTTGTATCTTTAATGAGTGCTGCTTTAAGTTTTCCAGATGCGAAATTATGGGAATGGGAGGACAAAGTCATCATTCGCCACAGAGCTAAAAGGTCCATCAACCCTTTAAGTAACATGTCATCTGGACATTGGATTGACGCCATTGGACAAGTCAGAGGAATTCCAGATGAGTATAAATTAGTAGATGAAGTAGCAGCAGGTTTTGAATCATTTCCCATTTTCTCAGCATTTTTCCCTGTAACGGTTAACAAAAATGTAAACAGAATTAATCTTATCCATTATAATGTACAACGCCTAGCCAACTACACTCGAGATGGTTTTGAGGCTACTCATGAACAATTAAGTCAAACATCCCTAATGGCCTTACAGAATAGAATGGCATTAGATATGATACTAGCGGAGAAAGGGGGGGTGTGTTCTATGTTCGGAAGTCTTTGCTGTACGTCCATAGTTAATAATACTGCTCCTGATGGAAAATTGACTAGAACTCTTAATAAACTTAGAGCACTCTCCACTGAATTGAAAGACATGTCTGGTGTCAACAATCCCTTAATTGACTGGCTGGAGAAAACATTTGGAATATGGAGAAAATATTTTGCAATGGTAGGACCCTCAATTATAATATCAATCTGTATGTTGATAACTTGTGGCTGTTGTTGTATTCCTTGCATTAGGGGACTGATCCAAAGAACCATTGATTGTGCATTTGCAGAGCCCCCTTCATATTCTAAAGCCCTTCAGATGATGGTGCAGGAAGCAAGACAACATAGAGACTTATTCTCTGATGAACCTGAGTCAGAAGAAGAAGAAACCAGTCCAAATAACATTATCCTACGTGCCATCCAAGCATCTGACTTGGACCTTATTTGCTAAAAGATTAGATAACTTATTAGAACAAAACTATAACTGTAAAACACCTCACTTATTAATTTGTCTTTTGTGTTGCTTGTTCATCTAACAATAAAAATAATAAAAGTTAAGACTTTAAAAATAAAATAAAAAAATTGTTTTAAAAAAATTATATTGTATTTTTCAACAGTCATATAATCTGATGATTACAAACTAATATAATCAACATAGAGGTAGCGACTTGCGCCTCTACATTAAATATTGATTTGTGATCACATGTGGATGTGATCAAGAGAGGGACTGTGAATATTTAATTACTATTTGCTTGCTAAAATATCATGTTAAACAGTTCACCTGTACTTTAAACAGCTTACAAAAGCATAAAACAGATAAAGTGTTGATGTATAGTACATGAGATAATACTATCTCATGTACATTGGAGTTTGGTCCATTACGAAGTCATACTTAGATCATAGTTGTGACATCTTAGGCCATCTCAACTGAACATTGAAACCATACGCTTTCTTCTGTATAGTCATGCTTCCAAAGTCTATGCTTACCTAAACATTTAAGGTGTATATAAGTAGCCACCCTTCACCTGTACAGCCAGACTTCTACAGCCAGACTTCTGACAGGAGCTGCGTTGTGCTTGACCAGACTACGCTCAAACCTTCTGATAATAAAAACTCTATTTGAACTACGCCGTTTGTCCAAGTCTCTTTTTGTCTTACGTCTGGGAACAATTCACATACTGGACCATAGGGAGAGAACACATGGTACTGGACCATAGGGAGAGAACACATGGTACTGGACCATAGGGAGAGAACACATGGTACTGGACCATAGGGAGAGAACACATGGTACTGCACCATAGGGAGAGAACACATGGTACTGGACCATAGGCAGAGACCACATGGTACTGGACCATAGGCAGAGACCACATGGTACTGGACCATAGGCAGAGACCACATGGTACTGGACCATGGAGAGAGACCACATGGTATTGGACCATAGAGAGAGACCACATGGTACTGGACCATGGAGAGAGACCACATGGTATTGGACCATAGGGAGAGAACACATGGTACTGGACCATAGGCAGAGACCAGATGGTACTGGACCATAGGGAGAGACCACATGGTACTGGACCATAGGCAGAGACCAGATGGTACTGGACCATAGGGAGAGACCACATGGTACTGGACCATAGGCAGAGACCAGATGGTACTGGACCATAGAGAGAGAACACATGGTATTGGACCATAGAGAGAGAACACATGGTACTGGACCATAGGGAGAGACCACATGGTACTGGACCATAAAGAGAGACCACATGGTATTGGACCATAGAGAGAGAACACATGGTATTGGACCATAGAGAGAGAACACATGGCATTGGACCATAGAGAGAGACCACATGGTACTGGACCATAGAGAGTGACCACATGGTATTGGACCATAGGGAGAGACCACATGGTACTGGACCATGGAGAGAGACCACATGGTATTGGACCATAGAGAGAGACCACATGGTATTGGACCATAGAGAGAGACCACATGGTACTGGACCATAGAGAGAGACCACATGGTACTGGACCATAGAGAGAGACCACATGGTACTGGACCATAGAGAGAGACCACATGGTATTGGACCATAGAGAGAGACCACATGGTACTGGACCATAGAGAGAGACCACATGGTACTGGACCATAGAGAGAGACCACATGGTACTGGACCATAGAGAGAGACCACATGGTATTGGACCATAGAGAGAGACCACATGGTATTGGACCATAGAGAGTGACCATGTCCATAGTGTATTGTCAGAGAAACCTCCGCAGCAGATCCAAGCCTGTGATACCGCTGTCTTCCACTGGGGACAGCGCTGGTGTAATTTCCTCCTCCTTGACGGCAGAACAATCCGTCCGCAGCAGAACAATCCGTCTGCAGCAGAACAATCCGTCCGCAGCAGAACAATCCGTCCGCAGCAGAACAATCCGTCCGCAGCAGAACAATCCGTCCGCAGCAGAACAATCCGTCTGCAGCAGAACAATCCGTCCGCAGCAGAACAATCCGTCTGCAGCAGAACAATCCGTCCGCAGCAGAACAATCCGTCCGCAGCAGAACAATCCGTCTGCAGCAGAACAATCCGTCCGCAGCAGAACAATCCGTCCGCAGCAGAACAATCCGTCCGCAGCAGAACAATCCGTCCGCAGCAGAACAATCCGTCCGCAGCAGAACAATCCGTCCGCAGCAGAACAATCCGTCCGCAGCAGAACAATCCGTCTGCAGCAGAACAATCCGTCCGCAGCAGAACAATCCGTCCGCAGCAGAACAATCCGTCCGCAGCAGAACAATCCGTCCGCAGCAGAACAATCCGTCCGCAGCAGAACAATCCGTCCGCAGCAGAACAATCCGTCCGCAGCAGAACAATCCGTCCGCAGCAGAACAATCCGTCCGCAGCAGAACATTAATTAGCGTTGGAAGTTGGTGTTTTAGTTTTAAATTGGCTGCGGCGCGTTCAGACCATCTCTGAACATCTTTCCATTCAAGACTTGAAACGGAGTGTGGTTCTGGAGGAGGATCTGTCTTACTCCCTCGTCTTGCCAAAATTGCTATTGCAGTAATGAATCCCTCTAATTTATCATCTGGTCAGGTTTGGAGAACGGCGGCCCACAAACTAAATGAGCCGCACGGCGCTGGCCCAGCTCGCCGCGCCACCTGCCAATACTCGCCGCTAACGTCGGAAAGTTTTGACAGACGCTCGAAACCAAGAAACTTTTGGAACGAAAAACAACAATCAACCGCAGAGATGGAGTGTGTGTCTGTGTGTGTGTGTGTCTGTGTGTGTGTCTGTGTGTGTGTGTGTGTGTCTGTGTGTGTGTGTGTGTGTGTGTGTGTGTGTGTCTCTGTGTGTGTGTCTACGTTTGTGTGTGTCTCTGTGTGTGTATGTGTGTGTCTCTGTGTGTGTGTCTGTGTGTGTGTGTCTGTGCGTGTGTGTCTCTGTGTGTGTGTGTGTTTGTCTGTGTGTCTGTGTCTGTGTGCGTGTGTTGAAGGGACCAGTGATAAATGTTTACTAACTGGGACCAGTTTCATCACAGATATTAAAGTTAAGCATCCATCCTAGACCCAGGACTGAGGCTGTAGACCCAGGACTGAGGCTGTAGACCCAGGACTGAGGCTGTAGACCCAGGACTGAGGCTGTAGACCCAGGACTGAGGCTGTAGACCCAGGACTGAGGCTGTAGACCCAGGACTGAGGCTGTAGACCCAGGACTGAGGCTGTAGACCCAGGACTGAGGCCGTAGACCCAGGACTGAGGCTGTAGACCCAGGACTGAGGCTGTAGACCCAGGACTGAGGCTGTGGACCCAGGACTGAGGCTGTAGACCCAGGACTGAAGCTGTAGACCCAGGACTGAGGCTGTAGACCCAGGACTGAGGCTGTAGACCCAGGACTGAGGCTGTAGACCCAGGACTGAGGCTGTAGACCCAGGACTGAGGCTGTAGACCCAGGACCCAGGACTGAGGCTGTCGACCCAGGACTGAGGCTGTAGACCCAGGACTGAGGCTGTAGACCCAGGACTGAGGCTTGTAGGACCCGAGGACTGAGGCTGTAGACCCAGGACTGAGGCTGTAGACCCAGGACTGAGGCTGTAGACCCAGGACTGAGGCTGTAGACCCAGGACTGAGGCTGTAGACCCAGGACTGAGGCTGTAGACCCAGGACTGAGGCTGTAGACCCAGGACTGAGGCTGTAGACCCAGGACTGAGGCTGTAGACCCAGGACTGAGGCTGTAGACCCAGGACTGAGGCTGTAGACCCAGGACTGAGGCTGTAGACCCAGGACTGAGGCTGTAGACCCAGGACTGAGGCTGTAGACCCAGGACTGAGGCTGTAGACCCAGGACTGAGGCTGTAGACCCAGGACTGAGGCTGTAGACCCAGGACTGAGGCTGTAGACCCAGGACTGAGGCTGTAGACCCAGGACTGAGGCTGTAGACCCAGGACTGAGGCTGTAGACCCAGGACTGAGGCTGTAGACCCAGGACTGAGGCTGTAGACCCAGGACTGAGGCTGTAGACCCAGGACTGAGGCTGTAGACCCAGGACTGAGGCTGTAGACCCAGGACTGAGGCTGTAGACCCAGGACTGAGGCTGTAGACCCAGGACTGAGGCTGTAGACCCAGGACTGAGGCTGTAGACCCAGGACTGAGGCTGTAGACCCAGGACTGAGGCTGTAGACCCAGGACTGAGGCTGTAGACCCAGGACTGAGGCTGTAGACCCAGGACTGAGGCTGTAGACCCAGGACTGAGGCTGTAGACCCAGGACTGAGGCTGTAGACCCAGGACTGAGGCTGTAGACCCAGGACTGAGGCTGTAGACCCAGGACTGAGGCTGTAGACCCAGGACTGAGGCTGTAGACCCAGGACTGAGGCTGTAGACCCAGGACTGAGGCTGTAGACCCAGGACTGAGGCTGTAGACCCAGGACTGAGGCTGTAGACCCAGGACTGAGGCTGTAGACCCAGGACTGAGGCTGTAGACCCAGGACTGAGGCTGTAGACCCAGGACTGAGGCTGTAGACCCAGGACTGAGGCTGTAGACCCAGGACTGAGGCTGTAGACCCAGGACTGAGGCTGTAGACCCAGGACTGAGGCTGTAGACCCAGGACTGAGGCTGTAGACCCAGGACTGAGGCTGTAGACCCAGGACTGAGGCTGTAGACCCAGGACTGAGGCTGTAGACCCAGGACTGAGGCTGTAGACCCAGGACTGAGGCTGTAGACCCAGGACTGAGGCTGTAGACCCAGGACTGAGGCTGTAGACCCAGGACTGAGGCTGTAGACCCAGGACTGAGGCTGTAGACCCAGGACTGAGGCTGTAGACCCAGGACTGAGGCTGTAGACCCAGGACTGAGGCTGTAGACCCAGGACTGAGGCTGTAGACCCAGGACTGAGGCTGTAGACCCAGGACTGAGGCTGTAGACCCAGGACTGAGGCTGTAGACCCAGGACTGAGGCTGTAGACCCAGGACTGAGGCTGTAGACCCAGGACTGAGGCTGTAGACCCAGGACTGAGGCTGTAGACCCAGGACTGAGGCTGTAGACCCAGGACTGAGGCTGTAGACCCAGGACTGAGGCTGTAGACCCAGGACTGAGGCTGTAGACCCAGGACTGAGGCTGTAGACCCAGGACTGAGGCTGTAGACCCAGGACTGAGGCTGTAGACCCAGGACTGAGGCTGTAGACCCAGGACTGAGGCTGTAGACCCAGGACTGAGGCTGTAGACCCAGGACTGAGGCTGTAGACCCAGGACTGAGGCTGTAGACCCAGGACTGAGGCTGTAGACCCAGGACTGAGGCTGTAGACCCAGGACTGAGGCTGTAGACCCAGGACTGAGGCTGTAGACCCAGGACTGAGGCTGTAGACCCAGGACTGAGGCTGTAGACCCAGGACTGAGGCTGTAGACCCAGGACTGAGGCTGTAGACCCAGGACTGAGGCTGTAGACCCAGGACTGAGGCTGTAGACCCAGGACTGAGGCTGTAGACCCAGGACTGAGGCTGTAGACCCAGGACTGAGGCTGTAGACCCAGGACTGAGGCTGTAGACCCAGGACTGAGGCTGTAGACCCAGGACTGAGGCTGTAGACCCAGGACTGAGGCTGTAGACCCAGGACTGAGGCTGTAGACCCAGGACTGAGGCTGTAGACCCAGGACTGAGGCTGTAGACCCAGGACTGAGGCTGTAGACCCAGGACTGAGGCTGTAGACCCAGGACTGAGGCTGTAGACCCAGGACTGAGGCTGTAGACCCAGGACTGAGGCTGTAGACCCAGGACTGAGGCTGTAGACCCAGGACTGAGGCTGTAGACCCAGGACTGAGGCTGTAGACCCAGGACTGAGGCTGTAGACCCAGGACTGAGGCTGTAGACCCAGGACTGAGGCTGTAGACCCAGGACTGAGGCTGTAGACCCAGGACTGAGGCTGTAGACCCAGGACTGAGGCTGTAGACCCAGGACTGAGGCTGTAGACCCAGGACTGAGGCTGTAGACCCAGGACTGAGGCTGTAGACCCAGGACTGAGGCTGTAGACCCAGGACTGAGGCTGTAGACCCAGGACTGAGGCTGTAGACCCAGGACTGAGGCTGTAGACCCAGGACTGAGGCTGTAGACCCAGGACTGAGGCTGTAGACCCAGGACTGAGGCTGTAGACCCAGGACTGAGGCTGTAGACCCAGGACTGAGGCTGTAGACCCAGGACTGAGGCTGTAGACCCAGGACTGAGGCTGTAGACCCAGGACTGAGGCTGTAGACCCAGGACTGAGGCTGTAGACCCAGGACTGAGGCTGTAGACCCAGGACTGAGGCTGTAGACCCAGGACTGAGGCTGTAGACCCAGGACTGAGGCTGTAGACCCAGGACTGAGGCTGTAGACCCAGGACTGAGGCTGTAGACCCAGGACTGAGGCTGTAGACCCAGGACTGAGGCTGTAGACCCAGGACTGAGGCTGTAGACCCAGGACTGAGGCTGTAGACCCAGGACTGAGGCTGTAGACCCAGGACTGAGGCTGTAGACCCAGGACTGAGGCTGTAGACCCAGGACTGAGGCTGTAGACCCAGGACTGAGGCTGTAGACCCAGGACTGAGGCTGTAGACCCAGGACTGAGGCTGTAGACCCAGGACTGAGGCTGTAGACCCAGGACTGAGGCTGTAGACCCAGGACTGAGGCTGTAGACCCAGGACTGAGGCTGTAGACCCAGGACTGAGGCTGTAGACCCAGGACTGAGGCTGTAGACCCAGGACTGAGGCTGTAGACCCAGGACTGAGGCTGTAGACCCAGGACTGAGGCTGTAGACCCAGGACTGAGGCTGTAGACCCAGGACTGAGGCTGTAGACCCAGGACTGAGGCTGTAGACCCAGGACTGAGGCTGTAGACCCAGGACTGAGGCTGTAGACCCAGGACTGAGGCTGTAGACCCAGGACTGAGGCTGTAGACCCAGGACTGAGGCTGTAGACCCAGGACTGAGGCTGTAGACCCAGGACTGAGGCTGTAGACCCAGGACTGAGGCTGTAGACCCAGGACTGAGGCTGTAGACCCAGGACTGAGGCTGTAGACCCAGGACTGAGGCTGTAGACCCAGGACTGAGGCTGTAGACCCAGGACTGAGGCTGTAGACCCAGGACTGAGGCTGTAGACCCAGGACTGAGGCTGTAGACCCAGGACTGAGGCTGTAGACCCAGGACTGAGGCTGTAGACCCAGGACTGAGGCTGTAGACCCAGGACTGAGGCTGTAGACCCAGGACTGAGGCTGTAGACCCAGGACTGAGGCTGTAGACCCAGGACTGAGGCTGTAGACCCAGGACTGAGGCTGTAGACCCCCAACCCAAAAACCCCCCCCCACACTTCAACCCAACACCCCCCCCCACATATCTCAAACCATACCCCCATACATCCCCATATCAAATCCCCACTTTAAAAAAAACCAACACAACCAA